TGATCCATTTTGAGTTTACTTTGGTGTATGGAGTTAGACAATAATCCAGTTTCATTCTCTTGCATGTAGCTGTCCAGTTTTGTCCACACCAGCTGTTGAAGAGGCTGTCATTTCCCCATTGTATATTCATGGCTTCTTTATCATATATTAATTGACCATATATGTATGGGTTTATACCTGGGCTCTCTAGTCTGTTCCATTGGTCTATGGGTCTGTTCTTGTGCCAGTATCAAACTGTCTTGAGTTCTGTGACTTCATAGTAGAGCTTGAAGTTGGGGAGCATAATCCCCCCAGCTTTATTCTTCCTTCTCAGGATTGCTTTAGCTATTCGTGTTTTTTTGTGGTTCCTTATGAATTTTAGAACTATTTGCTCAAGTTCGTTGAAGAATGCTGTCAGTATTTTGATAGGGATTGCATTGAATCTGTAGATTGCTTTAGGCAGGATGGCCATTTTGACAATATTAATTCTTCCTATCCATGAGCACGGGATGTGTGCCCATTTGTTGGTATCTTCTTTAATTTCTCTCATGAGTGTCTTGTAGTTTTCAGAGTATAGGTCTTTCACTTCCTTGGTTAGGTTTATTCCTAGGTATTTTATTCTTTTTGATGCAGTTGTGGATGGAATTGTTTTCCTGATTTCTCTTTCTGCTAGTTCATCATTCATGTATAGGTAAGCAACAGATTTCTGTATATTAATTTTGTATCCTATAAGTGCTGAATTCACACAATAGATTTAGTAGTTTTGGAGTGGATTCTTTAGGGTTTTTTTGTATAATATCTTATTATCTGTAAACAGGGACAGTTTAACTTCTTCCTTGCCAGTATGGATGCCTTTTATTTCTTTGTGTTGTCATATTGCTGAAGCGAGACCCTCACTATGTTGAATAAAAGTGGGGACAGTGGGAATCCTTGTTCTGTTCCTGATCTTAAATGAAAAGCTTTCAGCTTCTCATTGTTAAGTATAATGTTGGCTGTGGGTTTGTCATATACAGCCTTTATTATGCTGAGGTACTTGCCCTCTATACCCATTTTGTTGACAGTTTTTATCATGAATGGATGTTGAGTTTTGTTACATGGTTTTTCAGCATCTACGGAGATGATCATGTGGTTTTTGTCCTTCTTTTTGTTGATATGGTGGATAATGCTGATGGATTTTTGAATGTTGTACCATCCTTGCATCCCTGGAATAAACACTACTTGATCATGATGGATGATCTTTCTGATGTATTTTTGAATTCAGTCTGCTAATATTTTGTTGAATATTTTTGCATCTATGTTCATCAGGAATATTGCTGTGTAATTTTCTTTTTTTGTAGTGTCTTTGACTGGTTTTGGTATTAGAGTGATGCTGGTCTTGTAGAATGAGTTTGGTAGTATTCCCTCCTCTTCTACTTTTTGGAAAACTTTAAGGAGGATGGGTATTAGGTCTTTACTAAATGTTTGATAAAATTCAGCAATGAAACCATCTCGTCTAGGGGTTTTCTTCTTAGGAAGTTTTTTGATTACCAGTTCAATTTCCTTGCTGGCAATTGGTCTATTAAGATTTTCTGTTTCTTCCTGGGTCAGCCTTGGAAGGTTGTATTTTTCTAGAAAGCTCTCCATTTCTTCTAGGCTATCTAGTTTGTTAGCATACAATTTTCCATAGTATTCTCTAATAATTCGTTGTGTTTCTATGGTGTCCGTAGTGATATTTCCTTTCTCATTTCTGACTCTGTTTATGTGTGTAGACTCTCTTTTTTTCTTGATAAGTCTGGTTAGGGGTTTATCTATTTTATTTATTTTCTTGAAGAACCAGCTCCTGCTTTCATTGATTCTATTGTTTCATTCTTATCAATTTGATTTATTTCTGCTCTAATCTTTAGTATATTCCCCCTTCTACTGACTTTGGGCCTCATGTGTTCTTCTTTTCCTAGTTTCATTAATTGTGAGTTTAGACTGCTCATTTGGGATTGTTCTTCTTTCCTGAGGTAGGTCTGTATTGCAATATACTACCCTCTTAAGACGGCCTTCAGTGTGTCCCACAGATTTTGCGGTGTTGAATTATTGCTGTCATTTGTCTCCATATATTGCTTGATCTCTGTTTTTATTTGGTCATTTATTCATTGATTATTTAGGGGCATGTTATTAAGCCTCCATATGTTTTTGGGCTTTTTCATTTTCTTTTTGTAATTTATTTCTAGTTTCATACCTCTGTGATCCGAGAAACTGATTGGTACAATTTCAATCTTTTTTAATTTACTGAGGCTCTTTTTGTGGCCTAGTACATGATTTATTCTTGAAAATGTTCTGTGTGCACTTGAGAAGTGTGTGTGTCCTCTTGCTTTTGGATGGAGTGTTCTGTAGATGTCTTTTAGGTCCATCTGTTTTTTTCTAATATGTTGTTCAGTGCCTCTGTCTCTTTTCTTATTTTCTGTCTGGTGGGTCTGTTCTTTGGAGTGAGTGGTGTGGTGAAGTCTCCTAAAATGAATGCATTGCACTCTATTTCCCCCTTTAATTCTGTTTGTATTTGGTTCACATATGTAGGTGATCCTCTGTTGGGTGCATAGATATTTATAATAGTTACATCCTCTTGTTGGACTGAGCCCTTTATCATTATGTAATGTCCTTCTTTGTCTCTTGTGACTTTCTTTGTTTTGAAGTCTATTTTGTCTGATACAAATACTGCAACTCCTGCTTTTTTCTCCCTATTAGTTGCATGAAATATCTTTTTCCATCTCTTTACTTTCAGTCTGTGTATGTCTTTGGGTTTGAAGTGAGTCTCTTGTAGGCAGCATATAGACGGGTCTTGTTTTTTTATCCATTCAGTGACTCTGTGTCTTTTGATTGGTACATTTATTCCATTTACATTTAGGGTGATCATTGATAGGTATGTACTTATTGCCATTGCAGTCTTTACATTTGTGGTGACCAAAGGTTCAAGGGTAATTCCCTTACTATCTAACAGTCTTATTTAACTCACTTCATATGCTATTACAAACACAACCTTAAGGTTCTTTTTTTTTCACTCCTTTTTCTTCCTCCTCCATTCTTTGTATGTTATGAATCATATTCTGTACTCTCTGTCTATCCCTTGGATGACATCTACTTAGCCTTAGGAATACTTCCATCTATAGCAGTCCCTCCAAAATGCACTGTAGAGGTGGTTTGTAGGAGGTAAATTCTCTCAGTTCTTGCTTATCTGAAAATTGTTTAATCCCTCCAAATTTAAATGATAACCTTGCCAGGTATAATATTCTTGGTTTGAGGCCCTGCTGCTTCATTACATTAAATATATCATGCCACTCCTTTATGGCCTGTAAGGTTTCTGTTGAGAAATCTGACGAGAGCCTGATGGGTTTTCCTTTGTAGTGATCTTTTTTCTCTCTCTAGCTGCTTTCAAAAGTCTGTGCTTATCCTTGGTCTTTGCCATTTTAATTATTATGTGTCTTGATGTTGTCTTCCTTGGGTCCCTTGTGTTGGGAGATCTGTGCACCTCCATGGCTTCAGAGACTATCTCCTTCCCCAGATTGGGGAAGTTTTCAGCAATTACATCCTCAATGACACTTTCTATTCCTTTTTCTCTCTCTTCTTCTTCTGGTACCCCTATAATGTGAATATTGTTCCGTTTGGATTGGTCACTCAGTTCTCTCAGTATTCTTTCATTCTTAGAGATTCTTTTTTCTCTCTGTACCTCAGCTTCTTTGTATTTCTCTTTTCTAATTTCTATTCCATTTACCCTCTCTTCTACTACATCTAATCTGTCTTTAAATCCCTCCATTGTATGTGTCATTTCAGATATGGAATTTATTAATGATTGAATCTCCATCTTAAATTCATTCCTCAGTTCTTGAATATTTTTCTGTACCTTCATAAGCATGTATATGATTTTATTTTGAACTCTCTTTCAGAAAGATTGGTGAGTTCAATTTCATCTGGCCCTTTTTCTGGGGTTTGTGAGATTTTGGTCTGAACCAGGTTCCTTCAACCTTTCATATTTGTATGTGGTTCCCTCTGGTGCCCAGAAGCTCTAGTCTCTAGAGCTGCTCAGCCCCTGGAGTGAGGTTGGTGGTTGCACAGGAGTGGTGCTGGTGCCTGGGGGGAGGAAAGACCTGTTTCCTGCTTCCTGGCTGCAGTGCCTGTCTCCAGTGTCAGAGCCAGTGTGCTGAGCACACTGGGTAATGCTGTGCTTTGCATCTGTAGCTGTCATACACGGGGCCTCCCTCTGGCTGGCCTGACTCCAGCACAGTGACTGCTGGTTTGCGAGCCAGTGCCAGCAGGCCAGAAGGAAGGCACAGCAGGCTGCATATCACTGTGGGCGGCCTCAGAGCTGAGTAGCCATCCAGGGGGATGGAGCACATAAAGCTCCTCAAAGTTCCCAACCTGCTGGTCTGAGTGCGCTGGGATAATTTTGTCCATGTCCTTTCTCCCCCACAGCAAGCTCTGTGCAATCCTTGCCCCTTAAGCAGCTCTCTTGCTGCTAGGAAGCCTCTTAGACCACCCATCTTTCCTTTGTCCCAGAGCAGATGGATGTGGTTCCCTGTCTTCCACAAATGGCTGGAATCTCAGTCTTCTCAAGTATTCCACCAATGTAGGTTTGTGCTCCAAAGCAGATCTCCAGGGCTGGGAATTCAGCAGTCCTAGGCTTCCACCCCCTCTCCACTCCATTTCTCTTACTCCTGCCGGTGAGCTGCGGTGGGGGAAGAGCTTGGGTCCCACCAGATCAAGGCTTTGGCACGTTACCCTGTTTCGTGAGGTTTGCTCTGTTCTCCAGGTGTATGCAGTCTGGTACAGCCTTTTTTCCTGTTGGTGTTTTAGGATTAGTTGTATTAACTATATTTTCATACTATATGTGGTTTTGGGAGGAGTGCTCTGTCTTACCTCTCATGCCACCATCTTAATCGATCTCTGTATACTTAATTTTTATTAAATATTTATTAAGACAACATATATATATATATATATATAATCTTTAAAATGTGATAGCAAATAGAATGACAGAATGTAAGGTAGAAATCCTGTACCTTGTGTGTGACTCAGACTACTAAACTTGAAGGCAGAACTCTCATTGAAGAAGCTATCCCAGCAGTGGTCAATGACGAGATGCCTGGGATTTTCCCGACCTAATAAAAATGTAAAGAGACACTATACTTTAATGTCATATTCAAGAGGAAAAACATCAGTGGAGACTGATATAGAACCAAAACTCTCTTCTAATGGGAAATGATTCAGATAATTATTTTTTCAAAGGATATTTTAAGTTGAGATTTAAATGGCATTTTTGGAGCACACAGCCAACATTATAAATGGTTTTCTCTATAATACTCAAAAAATATAAAATCAACTCATAAATCCTTGGACTTTTAATTTAAACTAATGGATATTACTGAGAGCCTGTTCATGCCCATCATCTAAAATTGGATTGAGTAGTTAATATTTACATATCCATAACTACACATTTATGCAACATTAACAATAATTTAAACCAATAAATACAAAATCAACCAATTATCTGAGAAAGGTGGGGAAAAAAAGGAGTCATTTATGTCAAGGTGCTTTAAAATGGAGTCAGGAGGCCATTAAGGAGATGGGCCTCATGCACGTCCTCACTGGTGAAGCCATGAACTTTTGAACTGGGCCAAACTGCCAAATATTTCAGGGACACAGCCTGAACACCTGCAATTTGCCATCATAAGAGACTTGGCTTAGTGATAGCCTTACAGGCCAATGACATTCAGTCAAGGTTAGTTTTCTGCTGCCAGCACAAATCAAAATTCTTTGTGACCAACATAAGCAAGCATTCTCTTTTGTCTTTAAAAACCCTAACTTTTGTTCCTTGGTGGGATACAGTTTGGGTTGCTACCCAAATCTGTGCTTTCTATACAATTCTAAGACCCCAAATAACTGTTTTTATTTCAGGTATGCCTCTTTTCTCAGTTGACATTTCCAAAACATACTTACTGGCTACATAACAGGTACTTGCTTAGTACTGGCATGTATAAAAGATAAAAATCTCTGTCAACACAGACATTTATAACTTTAAGTATACTGAACTAGGGATCAGCCAATGCTGCCCTTGTAAAGAAATGGGAATGTATAATGTTACAACCCCTATGAAGGGGATTTTTGCAACATATTGTAAAATTGTACATATATTCATCATTTTGCCTATAAATACCACTTGTAGAAATACACCTTAGATAGATACCTCAAACATGAAATAATATGCATATAAGGGCATTTTTTGTAGAGCAAATTATTAGAAATAATGAAAAGGTGATGATACTGCACACTAGCTGGATATAAACAACAGTGCAGCAAAAAACTGAGGTACTAAAAAGTCATAAAAATCAATGAGAAAGTTGCCCAATAACTACTTTGCTGGCATTCCAGATATATTGTTACGTGAAGTTAGCAAGGTGCAAAAGAAATTGTGGTTGACCCTTGAATAACATGGGTTTGAATTGCATGGGTCTACTTATACATCAAAATTTTTGAATATATATATTGGAAAAATTTTTGGAGATTTGTGATAATTTGAAAAACTTTCAGGCAAACCGTATAGCCTATATGTATTGGAAAAAATTAAGAAAAGTTAGGTATGTCACAAATACATAAAATATAAGTAGATACTAGTCTATTTTATCATATATTTCCATAAAATACACACAAAACTATTAGTAAAAAAGTTTATTAAAAATCACATGCACAAACACAGACCACATATAGGGCAGTGAGCAGTTGAGAGAAATGTAAACAAGTGTAAAGATGCAGTATTCAATCATAGCTACATAAAATTAACTGTAGTATATACTACACTCCTGTAATAATTTCGTAGCCTATTGCTATACAATGAGTTCAAGTGTTGTGTATACCCACTTAAAATGTCATGGGATGCTGATCATCTCTGTGTGAGCAGTTCACCTCTTCAGTAGCCTGCATTATCACAGTAAAAAGTGATCCTTCATGGTTTTTGCATATTTTTCAACATGTTTAGTGCAATGTGTAAACCTTGAATACCACAATGGGACCCATAGGAAGTGCCCCTAGTGATGTTGGAAGTATTCCCAAGAAGCAGAAAAATGGCATGACATTGCAAGAAAAAGTCAAATTGTGACATAGATTGAGGTCTGCAGCTGTGGTTGACCATCATTTCAAGATAAATGAATCCAGCATAGGGACCATTGTATAAAAAAAAGAGAAGAAAATTTATGAAGCCATCGCTGCAGCTACAACAGCAGGTGCAAAAAAACTTGCACTTTTTGCAAAATACATTTTTATCTCATATTGAAAATGCAGTTTTTATGTGGGTGTAGGATTGCTACAGACTCCAATATGTGGGTGCATTGATGCTATATAATCTAATATCATTTGAGAAAAAGCAGTTATTAAATGACAACTTAAAGCAAAAGGAAGGTAAAAGATCTAAAGCTAGAGAACTGAAGGCCAGCAAAGAATGGTTTAATAGTTTTAGAAAGAGATTTGGCTTAAAAAATTGTCAAGATAACAGGAGGAGCAGCTTCTGAGGACCAAAAAGCAGCAGATGAGCTCCCAGGTGCCATTGAGAAAATCATTGAGCAGAACAGGTTTTTAATGCAGATGGAAGTGCCCTATTCTAGAAAAATATGCCACAAAGACATTTATTAGTAAAAAAGAGAAGCGAGCACCAGGGTTTGAGGCAGGAAAAGATAGGCTAACTCTACTGTTGTGTGCAAAAGCAGTAAGGTTTTTGGTCAGGACTGCCCTTATCTATAAAGATGCTAACCCCCAAGCTTTGAAGGGAAAAGATACACACCAGCTGACAGGGTTTTGGTTGTACAAAAAGAAGGTCTGGACAACAAGAACTCTTTTTCTGGATTGGTTCCATCAATATTTTGACCCTGAAGTCAAGGAAGTACCTTGCCAATAACGGGTGACCTTCTAAAGTTCTTTTGGTATTGGACAATGCCCCTGGCCATCCAGAACACCATGAGTTCAACACTGAAGGTGTTAACGTGGTCTACTTGCTCCCAAACACAATGTCTCTAATTTACCTCTAGGTTGGGGGGTCATAAGGACTTTTAAGGCTCGTTACACATGGTACTCTATGGAAAGGATTGTTAATGCTATGGAAGAGAACCCTGACAGAGAGAGCATCAAGGAAGTATCCAAGGATTACACCGCTGAACATGCCATCACTGTTACAGAAAAAGCTGTGCAAACTTTCAAGCCCAAAACAATAAATCCTGCTGGAGAAAACTTGAGTTCAGATGTTGTGCATGACTTCATGGGATTTATGATGGAGCCAATCAAGGAAATCATGAAGAGAATGTGGATATGGTGAAGGGTTTCAAGATAAGCATTTTGGAGAAATTCAAGAGCTAAAAGATACCACACCAGAGGAATTAACAGATGACTTGATGGGGTTGAGTGCTTCTGAACCAGGGTCAGATGATGAGGAAGAAGACATAGAAGCAGCAGGGCCAGAAAATGAATTGACATGAGACAATCTGGCAAAGGGTTCCTGTTATTCAAGACTCCTTTGGACTTCCTTTAGAACATGGACCGTTCATGATACAGGCACTAAAACTAAACCAAATGGTGAAGAAATATTTGGTACCGTATAAAAACATTTTTAGAGAAATGAAAAAGGAAAAAAGTGAGACAGAAATTATGATATATTTCTGTAAAGTTATACTGTGTGCCTGCCTCTCCTTCCACCTCTTCCACCTCCTCCACCTCTGCCACCCTTGAGACAGCAGGACCAGCCCCTCCTCTCCCCGCCTCCTCCGCACTCTTGACATGAAAATGACAAGGATGCAGACCTTTATGATGATCCACTTCCACTTAATGAATAGTAAATGATCATCATGCCACACAGTTAATAAATGTACATATTGTGTACGTATGTGTCTTCATGTGAAAATCTCATAATGTATGGCAAGAAGTGTAAGAAATGTTTATGTCATCATAATCATCACCTAAGTTATTTATTGTGTAGAACACTATGGACAAGATTTGTTTAGAAGTGGACAGACTATCCTTGCATAGGCATCAAGTGAGTAATACTTAATATGAAATTAATAGTGTGGTAGTCCTCTTACTGTTTTATAATTTTTCTTTCAAAAATTACAATATACAGTATGCCTCTCTTATCAGCTTATCATCATAGGTAAATGGTTTTAAAAAAATGTAACATTTCCAATACTGTATTATGAATATGTAAATCTAAACGATCAATTCATGAACCTTTATGCCTATAAATAAAAATGAATTCCTTCTTCATTTGTCTTTTCATTTTTAATGTCTAGTTTTAGTAATACATATAACATTAAAGTGCTTTGTATCATATAAGAAATCATTGATGTAGGGAGTGACATGATTAATCTTATAAATGGATGACATAAATGTACAGCATAGACAAATACACTACAGTACTATAAACGTATTTTCTTGGTGTGGTTTTCTTAATAACATTTTCTTTTCTCTATCTTACTTCATTTGTTAAGAATATAGTATATGATACATATAACATACAAAATATGTGTCAATCAACAGTTTATGTTATCACTATGGCTTTCAGTCAACAGTAGGATATTAGCCATTAGTTGTGGGGGAATCAAGTCAAACACAGATTTTCGACACCATGGGGTGTTGGCACCCTTAACTCCTGCATGTTCAAGAGTCAACTCTATACAGTATTCTACCTTTGTGTGAGATAGAGGATGAAAGGGGACTTTGTGTGTGTATACGCACATATTTATATACACTCATTTCATTCAGACGGGACAAGGTATACTGCAGAAGCCCCCAAGCCTGAGCAGCTAAGAGGGGCAGAGATCTGCTCTCTCCTACTGGACAGAAACAGGTGACACTCCAATTCTTTTGCTGGGGTACCAGGCTGGGAGCAAGGGTAGCCAGGGTAGATGTATGTGTATGTGTGTGTGTGTGTGTGTGTGTGTGTGTGTGTGTGTGTGTGTGTGTGTGTATAATAAATATAAATATTTATATTAAAAAAACCTGGTCCGATAATGTTCTGTCTACAAGAAACTTCTTCAAATTTAATGATGTAGGTTGTTTGAAAGAAAATGACTGAAAAAAGATATACCATACAACAGTTACAATTTTTTAAAAATAGAAAAGG